GGGCCGGGAGGGGGGCAATAGAGTTTCCCTGGTGTTGGCCAGAGTGGCCACCAGGGAAACCTGGGGAGGGCTAGCCTCCCACTAGTTCGAATTAAGGGGCTACACAGCCCTTAATTCGAACTAGTAAGTTCGAACTAGGCTTAATCCTCGTAAAATGAGGTTTTCCTAGTTCGAACTAAGCGCTCCGCTAGTTCGCTTCAAATTCGAACTAGCGGAGCGCTAGTGTAGCGGCTATGAATGTTAGTTCGAACTAACATTGTAGTGTAGACATACCCTAGGAGAACTGATAGTGGAGTATTGAGTATGTCAGTGGTTGCCAAACTGTGGTCGACAGATCATCAGTCATCTACAGAGTTCTTGGTGATGGTGTGCAGAATAAGCTAAGGATTTTGGAACTGAGAGGAAGATGAGATTTGGAGGATCATCAAGTGATCAGTAGAATGAAAAAAAGCTGAACAGCCACAGATATTGATTATTTCCATGCCCTTGTTTTCCATTTTCTATCCCAGAGTCCGCACCTTCCCCAGAGAGTCCCACCTAGGCCATGACACGGTCCGTGCCCTCATGTACTATGCTCTGAAGGTCTGGAGTGACATCACCCCGCTGAATTTCCATGAAGTGGCAGGTAATAATGCTGATATACAAATAGACTTCTCCAAAGCAGACCACGATGACGGGTATCCCTTTGATGGGCCTGGCGGCACAGTAGCACACGCATTCTTCCCTGGAGACCATCATACCGCAGGAGACACTCATTTTGATGATGATGAATATTGGACCTTCCGATCATCAGGTAGGTCAGGGTAAGAGAGTTGGAGCAGAACTTGTGCTCTCCCAACCCTTCCCTTTGTAATTATTTGTTTCTGTTATGAGTACTTGTCAGGTTTAGGGGTTCTGTGCACATCCCTTAGAGCAGTGGCATTGGAATAGTTTTTGGAATTGTGGTGCTGAGCTGTACATACATCCCTTGCCCCTTCTGTGCCCCTCACCACCACCACCAACAGCCAGGACCCAGCATGTGAGGCCTGGAGGTGGAGCCCCTCCAGGAATGGGCCTAACTGCTGGCTGGGACCCCAGGCTGAGTGGGGCTGGCAGCAGAGGCAGAGCAAGTATGTTATGCACCAGGGGGCAAAGGCAAAATTTGCACTCCCATGGCCTGTGGCTAGGCCCTGAACCTGATGTAGGGCTGAACCTGAACCTGGGGGGGGGGGTTCAGTTTGGGACTGAGCCCTACACGCACTAACCCACCAACAGAGATGGAGGAGGGTCAGGCTGGGGGCGGAGAGATGGGGAGGAGGCTCCAGCCAGCAGCAGTGGGCAAAGGAGGAGCAGGTGAGCCAAGGGATGACAGGGAGAGTGGAGGGGGACTAACTTGGCATGCCCCTAGTGTGGCACTTGAGAGCAACTGCCCTCCCCCTCCCTGCCATCCCTCACTATGCTACTGTAAATAATTCACCTCTTAGGATATTTATCATTTAATGAATTACTTATTTTACTAACTGCAGATAAATTATAGTTTTAGTGATTTATATTCTGTTAAATAATTTTGTCTCTTTTATTTGTTCATATCCTGTTCCCATTAGGTTCATGTCTTTAACATAAAACATGTCAAATGCTTAAAATGTGTAAGCTTTATAAAATACAAGAAAAGTTATAGAACCCAAATATGAATGTCATCACTATATTTTAATGAAGCATTTAAAACCACTGTTATAGCAAATGAGTAACTTTGTTGCTTTAATTAATAAAAGTTAAAAAAGATTTTGAGTGTATTAAGTTTATTGTAGGCAATCTATAATGCTTCCTAACAGCCTAGTTAACCAAATTGTTTTTCATACTATTGCACAGCGATAAACTACATCAGAGTTATGAAGGTAAGAGATTAACTTACCTGTTAAAATAACTCAGAAAAACTTTTAAATAAAACTAACACACAACACAAGAATCGCCCTCACTTTCTTGAAGGCACCAGAAATAATAAGTAGCCTAAGGCTGAGATTACACTGCAGGTGGCTTTCTGTCTGCCACAAGGACTTTTTCCTTTAGGCTGCCGTGAGATTCTATCCTTACATAAAGGAGCGGGATCTCTGAGCTGCTCTTTCAAATTTCACACAAGCCATTCATGTGGCCATAAATGTCAAGATTCAAGGCCAGCCTTGCCTTTGGCAGACTGCCTCTCCAGGTATTCACAATCACAACGTCCGAACATGTGTAAGTTGAGAAAGCCATGTTAATCCCAATTCTCTGCTATGACTAGGAAATGTGGGTGACCTATAGAAAACACCAACATTTTCTTTGGAAAATCCTCAACAAAATGTGGGGGGATCGGTCACTTTAGTAATGCCAACTCCTTTAGAATTGAGGCCCTGATTATCTGGCACCAGCTGAAGTAGAGCATGTACTGTGTGCACATGTCTGATATATTTTTACCAAAACTCTTGCCTGCCTAACTTGCCAAAGGAGAAGGGAAACAGGGAGGCCAAAAGGAATGGTACAGAGCAGTGTTTCTCAACCATTTGTATTAACTTTTAGAGGGGTAGCTGAGTTAGTCTGTAACAGGAAAAACTTAAAACACAACACATAGTCTAGTAGCATTTTAAAGACTAACAGAACACGTAGATGATATCATGAGCTTTCGTGGGTGGAAGTGGGTTTTGCCCATGAAAACTCATGATATGATCTACATGTTTTGTTAGTCTTTGAAGTGTTATTAGACCATTGTTGTACAGTGTGTACAGGGAGGCAGCATGTGGACCAGCTCCCGGCTCGCTGCTCTATGCATCACATGGGCCCGTGCGGCATGCGCTTCAGTCCCACCCGAGCTCAGCTCCTCCCTAGCCTGGTGCCCAGGGGCAAATCCCCCCCCCCCCCCCCCCCCCCCCCCCCTCCCCCCCTGGCTGGGAGGCCAACAGCAGGGCTGAGTGAATGGCTGATGGCAGGACAGGCCAAGTAGGAGGCCAGTAGCAGAGCCCCCAGGTTGCAGGGATACAGGACCAGTGACCAAGACTCTTATTTTCCCAACTGCCAGTAACATTTTTGTCCATCCAGGGGTCCAAATCAGGGAGGAAAATGGTTGTAGTTTATTCCTGTTTCCCCCCACAATTCCTCATGAGCACACCCATATAACCCAGAGTTCCCCTCTGCCCCTCCCAGGGTCCCTGCCTGGGTCTGCCTGCCTTTGCGTCTCTTAATAGACAGGTTGGTTGGACTGCTGTTGAGTTCACAGGGCTCCTCAACCCTGCTCTGTGGCAGGTTCACCAGTAAAACTATGAGTCATGTAGCACCAGCACTGGCAATGCAGAGACCAGCTCAGGGAAAAGCCCTGGCACCTATGTCCTTCCCTATAACTATACTTCAAGCCCTATTTCCACCCAGTGAGATCTGTAGGTATCTGCTTGCAAAGCCCACAGACAACACTCCTATACTCTCTGCAGACCTCTTGGCCAACAGGAAGGATGAAGAATAAATAGGAGGCCAGTGAAAAACAGCCCACACCCTTCCCCACTCTATTCTCAGACACACTTTGCCTTCAAGTTCACTCCTGCTCTTCCCATTCTGGCCATACTCCATGACCAGGGACCTGAATCTCCTCTACCCAGCATAGTAAGGGACATAAAATTCTACCAGTTCAGGAGATTCATTAGCTGTGTTAATGAAGGCATGAGGTTCACAGCAGTGGGGAGTGAGGTACTGGATCCCTCATCAGCGCTGCTTCTTCTTTGCACCCCAGATAGAAGAAAATTCAGATCCCAAGATTCTGCCCCAGTCCTCTCCTGACTATGGAGTGATCAGCTCCCAACAGCTGCCCACTCGCTAGGGGAATGCACCTGGAGGTGAAGACCCAGGCTGGGCTGAAGGCTTCTATTCTCAGTTGCCAGTAACCATCTGTCTTGCTTCCAATAAGAGAAGTCAGGGCAGCGCCAGACATGGCTTAAAAACAAGTGATCTTCTCTGCCATTAGGAAGTCAGGGCAGCTGCTCACCAGCTCCACACGATTAAGACATTTAAGAATTTCAATGTAAAACACAGTTTCAGCTTTTCAAGCCAGCAGCCCAGCTTCAATCAGCAGAAACACTTAGCAAAGCAAGGGCATCTCTGCTATGAAGGCCGGCATGACAGACCAGAGACCTCACAAGCTCCATCTTGGTTTAATTTTGGCAAAATGTCTCCGCTCCAGTCACAAGTTGCTAATTTTTTCATCATGCCACCTCCCATGCAGATATCTCAGTGGTTTGTGCTGCCTGGGCTTAATAATTTCATTTATACCTAAGCTTCCTCCCTGAATTTGAGTGATATTTTCTCTTTTTCTCTTTCCTTCCCCACCTTCAAAAATCAGAACCTCCAGAAGAAAGGCTCTGGGTACAAGGAATGTTCAAGCTGACCATTCCACCATCAGTGCTGCATCTGCTGCTGCTGCTGTGACCATAGACAACCTGATTTTGAATCCTCCCCACAAAAGCTGCCTTATAACAGGCAGCTCCCTCCTCCTCCACTTGCACCCTTTTTGCACAAAGTCCTTTATTCCAAACAATTTGTTCACTGGACTCTTCCTCTTGCCCTGCCCATTCTCAGACTGGATCATGGAGGTGTCCACACGCATCCTTCCAATGCACTGACATTGTGTTTGGTGACTTAGGTGTTTTTGGCTCACACCACATGAAGTTCTGGGGCAAGCTGTGGAGATGTGGGCAGTTACTGTGGAACCCCCTTAGGATGTTTTCCTAAGGAAAACTGGACAGTCAACTGAGATTTCCAGAGAGACACTCAGGCAGGACCCATTGCCACTCCTGTTAGGCACATGTCAGGTTTAACTCTGCTGCTATACAGCTGCTAATAAAGGTGCCCTGTGTGAAGCCTGAAACTCTGTATCTCATGACAGTGAACCTGAGGCTTTCCAGTGATCTTGTCCCTGTATGGAGTAAAATCCTTACGTTGGCCTTGTCTCTCCAGGTCCTTGAGAGCTTCGTTAAGTGCAGTGCTAACTCCAGCAGTTCAGAGGGTGGGAATATCCAACTGGCAGTGAAGACAGCTTTGACAGATAGCAATGTGGTAACTGTTCAGTGGTGGATATCCCCATCCCTTCGCTGTTAGAATGAAACACCGGTATTTTGGCCCAACTGTATAGGAAAAGCATTTCCTGTTTGTAAACATGTGGACCAGAGGTCTGTTTGATCAGAGACTATCTCTCCCAGGAAGATCCCTGCTGATTTCCTGTAGACCAGCAGTAGGCACCCTACTTGTATTATTAAAGTGACATGCCCATAAAGCAAGGGCATGTGAAATAAGATGTATGCTGATTGCACACAACATTGACTGTGAGAGCTGTGCACTATCTTTGCATACAATAAAAGTGCTGCTACGGTTTAATCAGCATCCCCTGCAAATTCTAAATATGCAGGTGCTGTTAGCAAAACTTTTCTATCTCGGGAGATTGTCTTGGTTGCAACAATCTTGTAGCCCACTCACTAGCCTAGGTTATACATCACTGCTGCAGTCTCTTAGCCTCTTGCTCCAAACTTTAGGCCACACTCCCTCACACTGAAACACATGTGCATGTTGAAGTAGACTCCTGAATGTCCACCACCTGAAGTATGATAAGCGTGCAGTGTTATTTTGACGCTGATGGTGATTTTATTTTCAGATGCCCATGGGATGGACTTGTTTGCTGTGGCAGTGCATGAGTTTGGCCACGCCATCGGCTTGACCCACATCTCTGCCTTAGATTCTATCATGAGACCCTATTACCAGGGACCAGTGGGGGATCCCCTGAAGTATGACCTGCCTTACGATGACAAAGTCAGAATCTGGCAGCTATATGGTTAGTTCACACCCTCGGAGCGAGTTTATGCTTCACTTCGTAATCATTGGCTCTCACAGACCTCACTTCTCAACCATACACTGTCCAGTTAGTGGGGAGGACGTGTCCTTTAATGCTTCCTTGTTTTCATTCCTAGGAGTCAGGGACTCTGTGTCCCCAACAGCCAAGCCTGAAGTAACCAAACCTGATGACCATCCCGTTCTGCCAGAGCTGCCAGAGAACCGCTCCACTGTGCAGTAAGCAGACTTGCCATTGATGTCCTTGTGAAGGCTCATCTGAAGCATGGATGTTTTCTCTAACTACGAGGTGGATGCTTCCCTTCCACAGTGGTGGCAGCAGGGAGTTAAAAAAGGGGGCAACAGGGTGACTTCTTTACTCTCCTGCCTCTCCTCCCTCCCCACAAAAATAATGGCTTGTTCCAAACCTTTGAACTTTTTGAAAATCCATTATTGGTGCTTCTCCCAGAGATGCTAATTCTTCCAGCTTAGGAACCTCTTAGATAGAGATCATTCTGGCCAATGATATGTTTGCATTCTTTGTTATCTCTGTATAACGAAGATCCAGAGGGGTTAAAAGTAATCCAAGGATAAAACCAGTATGGATAAGAAGCTTAATGAGATGTTAATTCAGGACTGGAACATAAATAAGAAATTCAGTGTGTGTGTCAGAGAGGAGGGTGTGTAAAAAAGGAAAAGTGCAAATTCTGAACTACTTATTAAGGAAGAAGAATGAGGTGAATGCCATTTCTCCATGCTGCAGTTTATACATAGTCCAAAACTTCACCTCTGCTTGGGGTGTATGGTGTTTTTATTTTCCTGAGATAAGTCTACCTGGCAAAGACCAAGGCCAGATCTACACTAAAAGGAAAGGTCGAATAAAGATACACAACTCCAGCTATGTTAATTACCTAGCTGGAGTCAACATACCTTGTTTCGAGTTTCCCTGCCACTGGGAGCCTGATGAGAGCAATCTTCGCAAGAGCAGGAGTACCAGCCACCGGCAGGGGCAGCCTTGGAGTTTGATTTAACAAAGTCTTAACTAGACTCGCTAAATCAAGCCAGAAAATCGATTGTGCCAGTGTCAATCTTCTGTTTAGTGAAGACATGGTCTCAGATTCAGAAAAGTATTTGGACCTATAACATGTATTGATTTAATATTGATATACCCTATTGGATTTGAGCCAAAGCTTATATTTTGTTTTGGATTTTCAGAAACTGCTGGGCATCCACCATCTGAGAATTGGGGCCCTTTATATTTTCTCAAGTTGGGGATCCAGAATTGCTATTCACATATGAAAATCTAGACTTTATTATGTGTATTTCTAACAATAGGAGCTACAAGAGGAAAATGGGAATTCTCTCTCTGTCTCAATGAGCAAAATTCTATCTTGGTGTAACTGCATAGACTTCAATGACTTGTACCAGAAATGAATTTGGCCTACTATGCATAGAAATATTTTCATGATGTTTTTAATTCAATGAAACTTTTTATTTTATATCTGAAGTATTTCTCTTCAACAGTTGACAGCAACACTGGGAGAATCAGCTCATGAAACTGACTAGAAAGGGTATGAAAAACCAATGGCGCCTTAAAGACCAACAGATTTATTTGGGCATCAGCTGTTGTGGGTAAAAACCATTTTATCAGATACATGGAGTGGAAATCACAAAGTCTGGGATCAATGTTCCCTCTAATTTTTTCTATCCATGGATGGAATAAAGTTTATGTGCACCGAGGCACTCTCCGTAGAGACACGTGCTACTCGCTGTGGACACTCTGCTAGTCAGTTGGGCAGCATTTCAGTCTCTTCTGGCTGGCCACCCAATTGCTCATCTTACAAGAAATACTGGTTGGGAGATATAGAGATATATATAATATCCTACTATCCGTAATTTACACTCCATTCATCTGATAAAATGGTTTTTATCCACAAAAGTTTGTCAAAATAAATATGTTAGTCTTTAAGGTGTCACAGGACTCCTCATTACTTTTACAGATAAAGACTAACACGGCTACCACTCTGAGACTAGAAAGAGTACAAAATTGATTAGTCGAGTCTCACACTTTTAAGCTGGGGGAAGAGCAAAGCCATAACCGAAATAGCATCAGGGTGATAAAAGTCCAAGTATGATTTTAAAATTCTTTAATTGTAACAATTGCAGCTGTTGTTAGTCACTCCAGGAGAGTTTGTTTTTTAAACTCTATGGGGCCACATCACCCCTTTCTCCTCAGTCTTAAGAAAATGAGCTTATAAAGTCATGACTGGGCGCAGATATGGGGCTGGCATATTGCATATGGCATATTATGGCTGGCGTCTCAATCAGCATAAAACCATTGACTTCCGTGGAGGAACACCAATTTTATATCAGCTGAGGACCTGATACAGGATTTTCATTTTGACAACTGTTTCTTGAATAGTGAATACACAGAGGAGTAAATAAATCTCTGAGGCATGACAGCTCCGGGCAACATATCAGGAGCATGGAATCCTTCTCTCTGTTGGTGTAATCTGCTCAGAGTTCATGAATTACCATTATGAAGTTGATGCAGCTCACCATGGCCCCAGGGGCTTAGTTATATTTGGAGGTTTCCTTGTATAATTGAAGTGCTGTCTTTAGAATTCTGCTTTGTGCCTTAGAAGCAAGGAGGTCATTGGAGGCTGCAAGGATATTCTCTTATTCCCTGCCCCATGAGAATGAGCAAGAGGCTTTCCTGGGAAGGGCCTTTTTATGGAGAGTTTCCTGAATGCTGGTAGCAGTGTCAGACTGGGGGTGGGGGCAGGCAAATGCTGTTCCCTGCCATAGGATAATTCCATCTATTTATTGACCCAGATCAGAATTGTGTGGTGGACTCTTCCTGATAAAATCCCCGAAAGAGTCTGGAAACAAAAGGGGGTTTGATGGTGGGAGATGAGGATGACCTCATCATAGTGTGGAAGGGCTGGTTATTCTTCTTGTTTAGTTAGATACCCTCTGCGGAGATGTCATCATAATGGGCTCAGAGATTCCTTCCCTCTTGGCATTTAAAGTAAATCCCTTGTAAAGGAAGGCGGGAGAGTTGCACATGCACTCACCGTCTTGTGATTGGACTGCATAGAAGATAAGGGACCTTCTGCTATTTGCAAAGGGAGCTGTCATTCAGGTCAAGCGATGGAGCTGAAGGACAAGGATTCTAATCCCCATTCCTCTGGAACATGTGTGTAATTTAGCTAGTAACTGTTCTAAGAAGCACAAAGATTTGTCATAGTTTTAGTGGCACAGTTGTATCAGCAGTGTTTATTGCTGTGATGCTTTGAAAGAAGGGAGCTGGCTCTTCCCTTAGATCTTACAGCACTGTATCACTAACATGAAGTTTGTTTTATGGAGTTGAAGGGTGCTCAGGTACCGTGGGAATGGGTCCAGTTCGAGAGCCTGGACAGAAGAGAATGCTTTCTCCTGTATGTTCTCTGCAGAGACACTGATGACGCAAGAAGTGATCATTACCCCTTTATCCCTCAACCTTGGGAGAATGAGCTTCCAAAGTCATGACTGGGCTCAGATGGGTGGCTGACATATTACATAGAGAGCAGTTCAAAAGGATGGTGCAGGCAATTTGACATGGAGGTCGTCTAAGGGCAAATTAGATTTATGCTTTCCTGTCATGGAGAGTAGCTGATCTATGTATGTTTCATATTTTCTTTCCTTGCTTTCTATTAATCACAGCTTCATTATGCTTTAAATTCTTCATGCTTCCTGTAGTCCCATCACATACTTTGTTACATAAGGACATAAGAGCGGCCATAATGGGTCAGACCACAAAGGTCAATCTAGCCCCGTCTGCCAACAGTGGCCAATACCAGATGCCCCAGAGGGAATAAACACAACAGATTTATCCCTCTCCTGTCACCCATTTCTAGAAAACAGAGGCTAGGGACACCATTTCTACCCATCCCAGCCATTGTTAAAGTGGCTTTTTGGGTCCCCCCCATCTGGTTCCTCATCCTCTTTGTTTGGTATCTGTGGCTGCCTCATGGTACAGCTGTAAGCCCAGCAGCTCAGGGTGTAAGTCCAGGCAAGCCTGTGGGCTTTTTGTTTAGCAAGTACCCTACTGCTCCCATAAAGGGGGCCCAGTGGGCTCTGGCTTGAACCACTGTTAAGCTGGAGTAATAACTTTGTCTTCATTGATGTTCCTCTAGCTTTACAGAGATGCTACTCAGAGAAGCATCTGGCTGCTCATCTCTTGGGTCTTAGGTGATGGCTTCACATAGAAAGGGAGGATTGTGCCTGCTGTTGAAACAGATCATTAATGGCTTACAGGTGGGCAGCTTATTGCCAGTCCCAGTGAAAATTCAGAAAACAATGTGCTTAATACATAGTAATTTATTTGAGAGAGTCGCACAAACAGTAAAGGTTCTATAACACACACTCCTTAATAAGCCTCTGTCATGAATAGGAGGAGTGCTGGCCAGCATTTAGTGACTAAAAGGTTAAACTCAGGTAGCTAAGGGTGTTGGCAGGGGCCAGAAGAACCAATGGGACATGGTATTGAAATTTTAATTGTATATACATACCTGCTGCCATCTCTCTTTGTAGGAGTTTGAAGTTAAGGGTTAGAAAGAACAGATAAAGTAATCAGAACTACCATACCTCCTTGGAATTGGGGGCATGGAATTGGACTAGACCATGAAGAGATCATGAGTAAATAAGGAAAAATATGTATTTAGTTGTGATCAGGGTATTTTTCTTTGTTTTGGTTGTTTGGCTAAGCTTCTCTGTAAAATCCATGTGCTCCCCCCTCCCCCCGCACCATTCATAATTGAAGCTGTACCCAGAGATACTATGTTCTCTGTGTTTTAATTTGTTGTTCTTAGTTGCTCTGTGACACCTAGCAACCACGTATGCTTTATTAAGTATATGGGGTTTTTTTTTGTTAATAAAATCATCTTTTTTAAGGTGATGATTTGATTCTCGTGTCCTGGAAAGCTAATAGGAGCTCTCTGTGAATATCTGCCTAGCCTAAGAGGTCAACTATAAGACATACCATTTATTTTCTGTGCTTTTTGTTTCTTTTTTCAAGCTCTCTTGTGGCAAAAGAGCTTGGGGTACTACTAGGGAAGGAATTCAAGTATTCCTTCCTGTTTTTTCTGGGTTTAAATCACTTGATAGTGGCAGCCTATTTTCCAGAGTCTGTGACTCTGGGGAATGTTTATTGGTTTGTTTGTTTGTTTCAAAGAGAACCTATAGAGGCAAAGTATGTAAGTTCTTTTGTGGGCCCCCACCTTCTGCACTTGGAATGCCAGAGTGGGAAACCGACCTGACAGTCTCAATCTCCCAAGTATAAACCCTTAGTAACTATGATGGCCTGGAAAACAAAGCTGGTATATCTGCCACTTGTAGATGGAGACCTTCTCTTCTCTTCTTTTCTTTCCCCTCTCAGGTACTTGTTCTGTCACGTGTCCCACAAATCAGGGTCTATATCACCCAGAGTCCTTTTGGTTCTAAAGTTCCTTGAACATCCCACAAAGCGGGATACAACTTACCTCCAGGTCTTCTGTCTCATAGGCTTGAAACTCTTCAGAAGTTAATTGGGGAATCTACTAACTAATTTACTTTGCTTGGGAATTACATCTTTTATTCTCAAACGAGTCACATGTCTTAGAAATGCACCCAATGGGTATTTATTACTGGTTTTCTTTAATTAACATTTCGGAAAGAAGGGCTATAGAACAGACCCAGGCCAAAGCGCAATCAATGTTTACCCTGTCATCATTCATTTACTAGAGTCCACAGTGTGAAGCCATCCAGAAAGGGACATTTATCTGATGTTAACAGAATCCTGCTCCCAGAATTCTCTAGCAAGTTCAGACATATCAAGACATACCAAACTGATACTTACCACGTTTATTCATACCCATCACTATAATTCATAATAATTTGGCATGATTCTAACATCTGCCACAGATTTATTTTGTAGAGAAAACTCTTAAAGCTGACATTTGCCCAGAAAAGCTTTGCAGAGCCTCTGCCTTGGAAAATCCCCTGAATGCAAGGCTGGCTTCACAGCAGGAGGCACCAAATTTTAGGCCTCTGTGACCTTCTGCCGCATTTCTAGCTACAGCAATGTCCTGTTGAACATTGGGGAAGATTCCAGTTCTCTGTCCCCTGCAGAATTGTCTTGAACCATGTGAGCCAGTGTTGTCAGCAGGGAGGGAATTGCTGCTCACCTAGTGGAGCAGCGCCACATCCTGGGGAGCTGGAAGGCACTGCTGTGGAGGAAGGGCTGCCATTCACCTGAGTGCTGTTTTTCTGCAGACTCAGAAGAGACATACCCAACAGGTGCAACACTCACTTTGATGCCGTGGCACAGATCAGAGGAGAGGCATTCTTCTTCAAAGGTAAGCAGCTGCTTTCTATGGAACAGCATGGGTGATCTTCACCAAGGCGGAGCTGCATGTCGCTCTGTGTTATGAAGCAAGGCACCATTTGTGCAAATGGTTCCATCTACTCTTATCTTTAAACCTGGCCCCCAGAAGGGTATGGCTTTGCCAGGATGTCCAGGGCATAGAGTATGAGTGGTGGTGACAGTTCTAGGTTCACCTCCAGTAGTATTTATTCTGTTTGCTCTAGAGCTGCTTGCCAGGGTTTGATTCTCATTGACATGGTGGTCACATTACACTGTTGGAGCAGTGTACAGGGCTCTTAGATCTTTCAGGCCCCCTATCTACATCCACCTTCAGGCTACCTGCACAGAGGGGAAATAATAGAATCGTCATCTAGCTTGAAACTAGTGGGACAGGCATGATTTTCAAAAAGGATGCAGCAGACATAGAAAAGACCTAGAGAGGGGCATCGGTGATGATGCAAACATGTAGGAACTTCCAGGGGAGGGGATAGAGACTAAATTATGCCTGCTCATTTTAGAGAGGAGGTAAGTGAGGATCATAGTAAAGGTATACACAATATTGAGGGATAAATCAGGCATTTCCTCTGAGCCAAAAATTAGGAGGAAATTTGTGAATAGGGACATATCTAAAGCTGAAAGTGCTTGGTGCTTTTAAATCCAGTGGAATTAAAAGACAATACATTTAAATGGACTCATTATTAAACTATGGAACTCACTGCTGCTAGAAGCTAAAGAGGCAAAGAACTGAGTAGGATTCTTGTGAATTATTAGGAATGTGTACTATAAGAACATCAGCAGTGACACAAATTTAATGATAAGGCCCCCCAGGACGCCAGCCAATCACTGAGCCTGGCACTCAGAATAAACTCCATTTCCACCCCCTTTAACCTTGCACACAGTCATGTTTTTCCATTACTTCCCATTATAGGAGTTTTACACTTTGCTCTGAATCCGCTTTCAGTGGCCACCGTTAGAAATAGTTTCTCACTGGCCCGGCAACGTCTGCTTTGCCACTGCCGTCCACAATTTCATAGTGCTGAACTGAAATTGGCACTTGCAGTATCAAAATACAAATTTGATACTGAGAGAACAACAGCTGATTTCTTTCGCTTTTGCCCTGAATGTCTTCAATTTCACTTTCCTTACACACTTCATCGAATCATAGAACACTAGAACTGGAAGAGACCTCGAGAGATCATCAAGTCCAGTCCCCTGCTCCCATGGCAGCACTAAGCACCGTCTAGATCATCCATGATAGATGTTTATCTAACCTGCTCGTTAATATCTCTGATGATGGAGATTCCATAACTTTCCTAGCAATTATTCTCCTTGTCAATTGTTTAAACTCCCTGACAATTAGGAAGCTTTTCCTAATGTCTAACCTAAACCTCCCTTGCTTCAATTTAAGCCCATTGTCTCTTGTCCTATCATCAGAGACCAAGGAGAAAAATTTGTCTCCCTCCTCCTAGTAATGCCCTTTTAGGTACTTGAAAGCTGTTATGTCCCCTCTCAGTCTTTTCTTTTCCAAATTAAATAAACCCAATTCTTTCAGTCTTCCCTCCTGGGTCATGCTTTCTAGATCTTTAATCATTTTTGTTGCTTTTCTCTGGACTCTCTCCAATTTCTCCACATCATTCTTGAAATATATACAGTATTCCAACTGAGGCCTAATCATCACAGAGTAGATGATACACCGTCATCCAAAGACAAGACATGCACAAAATTACAGTACCATCTGGTTCCATGTTGACTGAACAATTGTTGGCAATGTCTCATCAGAGTGAAAGGCTATCTAGAGAATACTGCTTGTGCCTCCTCAGTTGCATAGAATCCTTCTCTGCCTGGTCTCCTTGGGGTTTCTTTACCTTTGAAGTGGAAGTGATACAAAGAACATGTTTATTTAATTACATGTGTTTCCATAAATGTACAACAGCTACACAGTTTGAATATTAGATTTGTAATGATCTTAAAAGAATTTGCAATTACAGCCATTCCTAACAGCTGAATTAATTATTTAGACATAGATTTAAGTCATATAGACCAAATAGGTAAAATACAGCAGAAGAACAAGTATGTGATATAAATCCTTATAATTGTAATTAAAAACCCACTCTGCAGATGTTTAAATGTTCGAGTTTTGCCTCTTTGCAGTATTAGGCTAAGATCTAATTTCCATAAAATTTTGAAAGTTGGTATCTCAGTCTGTCAGCTCTGTAGGAGTGGAGTTGAATGTCTTGGGCCTGTTGCTCATTTCTCAAGGGCATCCCAGCCATACTAAAAAGGATGTGCATATTTCACAATAATAGCTTATTGGGTATGGGGATACCAGAGAGGAGTCTGTGAGGAGATAGGGTGGGTACTCAGCCTGCTTCCTCCAACTCACATCTCACTGGATAGAGATCCTAGAGGAAAACACATCCATGGAATGTGCCACAAAATCGTAGAAATTCAGGTGGAGAATTCCAAATGTTCCTAAGGGAATTAGGCACACAACTCCCATTGAATTGGTTATAGCAACCTAACTGCCTGATACACCTTTATATATCCCAGCCTTAAGCTTTCCCCCAGCAACCTTTGATCTTCTCCTCCCCTTACAACCAGTGTGGTATCTTGCTTAGCCCCAGTACCTAGAGCTGACATAGATGGTATAGTTTTGTTGAGGTTGCTGTAGATGGGCCCTTATCATCAGCAGAGAATTTGTCCCATTGTAACATTTGGGATGAGAAGGACTCTGTCCACCTTGTAATGATGCATAATACATGCCAGTTGTGTCTCCTTTTCTGCTCTTCCTTAGTGTATTTTTTCTTTTTCACTCTAACTCCTCCATTCCTATCCCTTTATAAAAAACACTGGATTCCAGACAGTCTTTTCCTAGAATAGTTGTTCTTCCAAGTATTATTGCACAGGGATGTGTAAAATATTCAAACACTTGGCAGAGCAACATATGGTAGTAAAAGCCATCTGAGGCTTGAGGAGAGGAAAAGCTCCAGATACTTTTGTCTTTTCTGATGGTATGACTTATTTGGCCACTCTGTGGTCTGATCTAGCCTGGTTTTAGCTGCCTTAGTACTCTCTGGTCTCCAGTGCTCATTTGCTGGGTGGTAATCAGAGTTGTGCTTACTCATATACAGAATATACTAATGCATAAGGAACCCAAAATTCAGGGAGAGAATCTAGTTAACTTAAGTGAAAGAAGCCTGATAGACCTATTAGCAGAACTTTGAATCTGTGAAAGGGCTATTCAGTGGTAATGAAGCTATTTAACAGGCATTTGCCAACCTCAGATATAGACTGTCATTTTTTGAATTTACTGTGCTAGGCACAGTTAAAATTTGCTTTAAAACTAAATTCATTATTGTGTTGCTGAAGATTATAAAGTAACATCTCTAAAAAACCTGTCATTCCCTCCCTTTTCTCCTAAGGTGCTATTGGGCATTGGGCACCAGTTTAATAGTACTGATTAGAGCATCAGAAATCCTAAAAACGGGAGTTAATGCTGCTGTTATTGATGCTGAGGCAGCATATTTAGGCCTGGAGAAAAGAAGAGGAAAAATCTTTATTCGACAGAAAAACAGTGACTGCAATGCAGAATCTGAAAGGGAAATGGGAATGGATTTCACCTTATGGCTCAGTGCCATCTTAGGAGTGTAGAATAAAAGACTGCTACTATTGTTCCATAGTTCCCACCTATCACACTTTGTTTTCTATTGTCACCTGACTCCACCCACAGCTTTTTTCTCCCAGCAAGGGAGTGTTATGGTATGGTTCATTAATGTCCAATCTGTATTCATCTAGGCAAGTACTTCTGGAGACTGACTCGCAATAAACACTTAGTCTCCCTTCAGCCAGCTCAGATTCACCGTTTCTGGCGGGGTCTCCCCCTCAATATGGATAGTGTGGATGCGGTGTATGAGAGAACCAATGACCACAAGATCGTGTTCTTCAAAGGTAAGAGCAAAAACATTGTTAAAGAGTCCACATATCTCTTGCTGAAAAATCCAAGGATGCTGCTACATGTTGGCCGCTCTAGGTTTCCATCAGTCCTTCAATCAAGGAGGAATTCAGTGTTCCACTGAGCTGCTAGGTCATTATTAGTGTGCCCTAAGCTGCCATGAATCCACCATTACAAGACTAGTACATATTAGGTTGCTAATAGAGCCAGTCAATAAGCAGCAATTATGTTTCTTAAAAGAAAATAAAAACAATTCACTTTCTCAAACAGTAATGTTAGTAAAGGGAGAGAGTTTCTTTAGCTCAAATAGTTTTGGAGCTGTACAGCCAGGGTCTTATCCCTAATCCTCATTTGAGTATGATATAGCTGAAAACCATTTCTGTCTTCAGTGCATTGATTCATTCATTCATTACTGTGCACTTCAGTAAACTATGTTCCACCTCCATGGCTGGACATTCAGTTGGGTTCATACTTGCAAAGTGTCCCACACAGAATTACTAAGTGTACCTCGGGTTCAGTCATTCCTTGTGTCATGCCCGCTGCCAGTAGTCTGAATTTAATCAATTTCCCACACTCAAAATTTTGGCTGTCTTTCCATTGTATAATTATTGCAAGCAGCACTCAAACTGAATCTGGGGTGCTTTTTAGGGAGCTCTTCTACTGAATAACTCCAAAAAGAGCAGCTATGCTAAGCTTCACTCCGTGAGAAGTTGCTTTTTGCCTCTGTAATGTTGCACTTTCAGTGTGGTAAATTATTGATTTCAGAAGTGCTGAATTGCAGTGGTGAGACTGTAGAAATGGATTATCCTCAATAATGGGTCTCACACATTCTTCTGTACCCATTTAAGCTTTAAAGGCCCCCCACATTTTGGCATATGAAGGAAAAAAAAAATGGCCTCTGTGACATCATGGATTCCACCGGACACTGCCAAACCACACAGCTATTGAAAGAAGAGAGGCAAACGAGCCATGGGTCCAGTTATAGCTGCTGGCATGGATTCACAACTTTGAATCCATGGGGTTGCTGTTTTTCCCCTCTGTGACATAGGAGCAGCTACGCTAGAGCATGGACTATATGGATTCCCCTTTGGAAGAACAGCCAAATATTATGGTAATGAGGGCCAGATACCCAAGAGAGACAGATGGCTTGAGCCCCATGTCGTCTTTCTACCATATGTGCAGGTCTTTCAAATCCAGCTGAATGGCTGCTCAGAAACATGAGGTATACAGTGCAATTACAAAAGTGGCATGTTCCCTCTAATCTTTTCCATCTAGTGGTGAATTTTTTCTGTCTATGTACAAAATAAAATTTGTATGTGCACTGAGGCAGGTGCGAATGTGCACCACCAGTAGAAACAAAGAACCTAGCTGTTGGTGCTCTGCTAATCAGCTGAGTGGCATTCAAATCTCCCCTGAGAAGCCGCACAAGTGCACAGCTTACCAGGAACACTGTTGTGTATGTGCGTTTGTGTTGAAAGTAGAATTCCAGACAGAACTTCTCCATTCGCCCTCAAAAAGCACATGTGACTTTTTATTTCTATTAAACCGTTATTAAACAGTTAATAAATGGCATAACCACAGACAACTAGCCTGAGGTTACAAAGCACAATCAGCAAGTTTACGTCCTGGGACCTAATGCCTCCAGCAGCAAAACAGCAAAGGCTGGCTGTATTTAAGGGGGAATTTGACACAAACAGCATTTTTCACGAGAAGAAGATTCCACAGCAAGCGGCTGTTTTGTAATTTCCTTTCTGGAATGCTAGGAATCTAGGGATTGTCACAACAACGGATCATAGAATGTAACCTTTTCTTTCAAGGACGCCTGGCCTCCTCTGCGAAGCAGGACTGATACTGATCTGTGCCTATTTCCTCTTCCCAGGAGACAGATATTGGGTGTTCAAAGACAACAATGTGGAGGAAGGATACCCTCGGCCAATTTCAGATTTTGGCTTGCCTCCGGGAGGCATCGATGCAGCCTTTTCCTGGGCCCAAAATGACAAGGCTTATTTCTTTAAAGACAATCTCTACTGGCGCTATGATGACCATGAGCGCAGAATGGATCCTGGATATCCTTTAGAGGCCACTTTGTGGAAGGGCATTCCAAATATATTAGATGACGCAATGAGATGGTCAGATGGTGAGTTGGTGCCAGCTTAGCTGAGAGTTTTTCTTTGAAAACTAAGTTCCTGTCTACACTTAATGTTGTGGCTTTAACTGTGGGTAAATTGGAGAGGAAACAAAAGTGCTAGTCCATACCATTTTACTAGCATAAAAGCACATATAAACAAGTTGGCTATGTCTAGACTGGCATGATTTTCCGCAAATGCTTTTAACGGAAAAGTTTTCCGTTAAAAGCTTTTGCGGAAAAGAGCATCTAGATTGGCACGGACACTTTTCCGCAAAAGCACTTCGGTGCTAATCTAGACGTGCTTTTCCGCAAAAAAGCCCCGATCGCCATTTTGCGATCGGGGTTTTTTTGCATAAAACAAATCTGAGCTGTCTACACTAGCCCTTTTGCGCAAAAGGACTTTTGCCCGAACGGGAGCAGCATAGTATTTCCACAAGAAGCACTGATTTCAGACAGTAGGAAGTCAGTGTTCTTGCAGAAATTCAAGCGGCCAGTGTAGACAGCTGGCAAGTCTTGCCAGTCTAGACACAGCCGCTGTGTATTTTGTTTCAGTGAAGCAAAATCATCAATGCCAGTATAAAGTATCTTGTGCCAATATAGCTGCATCTACACTAGGGCTTTTACCAACATAACTATTCTGGCAAACAAACAATGTTGACTCAGCTTCTCATCCACTGTAATCCCCAGGTCCTTTTCTGCAGAACTGCTACTTAGCTAGTTGGTCCCCAGCCTGTAACAATGCTTGGGATTCTTCTGTTCTAAGTGCAGGATTCTATGCTTGTCTTTGTTGAACCTCATCAGATTTCTTGTGGCCCAATCCTCCAATCTGTCTAAGTCACTCTGGACTCTATCCCTACCCTCCAGTGTATCTACCTCTCACCCTAGCTTAGTATCATACTCAGACTTGCTCACGGTGCAATCCATCCCCTCATCCAGGTCATTAATAAAGATGTTAAACAAAATCGGTCCCAGAACGAAACCTTGGGACACTCCGCTAGAAACTGACCATCATCCTGACATCAGGCCGTTGATCACTACCCACTGGGCCCGACAGTCTAGCCAGCTTTCTATCCATCTTACCATCCATTTATCCAATCCACAGTTCCTTAACTTCCTGGCAAGAATATTGTGGGAGACTATATCAAAAGCCTTGCTCAAGTCAAGGTATATCACATCTACTGACTTTCCCATATCCACAGAGTCAGTTACTTCATCATAGAATCTAATCAGATTGGTCAGGCACAACTTGCCCTTCATGAATCCATGCTGATTATTCCTGATCACCTTCCTCTCTTCCAAGTGCTTCAAAATGGATTCCTTGAGGATCCCTTCCATGATTTTTCCAGGGACTGAGGTCAGACTGATTGGCCTATAGTTCCCTGGAGCATCCTTCTTCCCTTTCTTAAAGATGGGCACTACATTTGCCTTTTTCCAATCATTCAGGATCTCTCCCGATCCCCACGACTTTTCAAAGATAATGGCCAAAGGCTCCTCAATGACATTTGCCAACACTCTCAGTACCCTCGGGTGTATTAAGTCCAGACCCATGGATTTATGTATGTTTCATTTTTTAAAATAGTTCCTAACATGTACTTTCCCCACCAACGGCTGTCCACCTTCATCCCATATTGTGTCACTTAGCGCATTAGTCTAGGAGCTGACCTTGTCCATGAAGAGAAAGGCAAAGAAAGCATTAAGTACTTCAGCTTTCCCCAAACATCTGTCACTAGGTTACCACCCTCATCCAGTAGGTGCCCCACACCCTCTCTGATCACCTTCTTCTTGCTGGCATCCCTGTAAAAACCTTTCTTGTTATTCTTCACATCCTTAGCCAGTCGCGATTCCATTTGCGCTTTCGCCTTCCTGATAACCCCCCGGCATTCTCGAGCTATACCTTTAAACTCCTCCCTGGTCATTTGTCCAAGTTTCCACTCTTCGTAAGCTTCCTTTTTGTGCTTAAGTTCACCAAGGATTTCCCCTGTAAGCCAGTCCGGTCTCCTACCATGTTTGCCTCTCTTGCTATGCGTCATACACATAGTTAGTATATTTTAAACAATATGGAAATAAGTCTGAGGGATAGCTCTGTTAGTTTAGCTCCTTTCCCCTTCATTTTAGGATCCCAGGGGATTCTGCCCATCAGGTCTCTGAGGAAGTCGAAGTCTGCTTTTCTGAAGTCCACGGTGTGTATTTTACTACTCTCTTTTCTTCTCTTGGTCAGGATCCTGAAATCACAGTACTCTCTTAGGGTACGTCTACACTACAACGTTAATTCGAACTAACGCGTCTAGAACTAAAAACTAGTTCGAATTAGCGTTTTGCTAATTCGAACTAGCATATCCACATTAAGTGGACCCTGAACCGGGCTTAAGGATGGCCGGAAGCAGTGCCGGCAGGGCATCAGAGGAGGACTTAGAGCGTGGAGATGCTATCTCAGGCTAGCCGAGGGCTGCGCTTAAAGGGACCCGACCCCCACCCCGGACAGACAGTTCTCAGTTCATAATGTTTGCTTGAGATGGGCTCCCTCTTGTGGACTTTTATCAGGTACGTGTGATGTAATGTTCCAATGGTGCCTGGTTATATTATGAAATTTCTGTTTTCTTTCTAAAGTAATTAGGAAGTGTCTAATCCCCCTCCCCTCCCAAAAAAAACCCTAGGAACATTAAGATTGCACTGTAAAGTGCTGACGTTAGGAAATAATGGCCTGAACGTACATAATTCTGTCCCCTTTTATATGCAGTGTAAGAATCTTTAGATCACTTGCTATTTCTCAACTACAGTATACTGTATCATTTTCCTTCAAGCTGTCTCATAGGTGGGAGAGGGGAAGAGAGAGGCTGGGAGAGGGGAGGGCAACTACAATGATCAGGGGTTGGGAACAGGTCCCATATGAAGAGAGGCTAAAGAGACTGGGATTTCTCATCTTAGAAAAGAGGAGACAGAGGGGGGACAGGATAGAGGTCTCTAAAAGCAGGAGTTGGGTGGAGAGGGTGCATACAGAAAAGTTCTTCATTAGTCCTTCACTAGAAGGACTAGAGGACACCAAAGGAAAGGAATGGGTAGCAGGCTTCAAACTAGTAACAGAAAGTTGTTCTTCACAAAGCAAAGAGTCAACCTGTGGAACTCCTTGCTGCAGGAGGCTGTGAAGGCTACAACTAGAACAGAGTTTAAAGAGAAATGAGATAAAGTCATGGAGGTGGGGTCCATGGAGTGCTATTAGCCAGGGGGTAGGAATGGTGTCCCTGCCC